CTTTCATAACCAGTCTCCTCATTAACTATGGTTAACTGCACTGCAAGTTTTTTACGTTCGTAAGTTGCTCGGGACAGAGACGATAGAAATCGAATAAGACGTATGGATTGATAATACTTACCTGCTTCTTCTGGTTCTAATGTCTGATAATCAGGCATCTTGTTTGCATTGTCTTGTTCTTCCTAAAATGTTTAAGTACTGGTCTTATTAAACACGTATTTGCTTTGCGCAAAATATATGTACTACCATCAACAAGTAACTCAGGAGAGCCTTAGTTTGTTTGCTTTTCGTTCTCCTACCTTTACTAGCCACAGAACAGACCCAATGGCACGGACGAGATGCACATTTCTTCTTAACATACCATATTTATTGCTTAATTTTGCTATTACAACACCAAAACTGTTCGAATTGACCTGTCCAATTACCAGGGGCTTGTAATCAAACAGGTCAAATTGGACAGAGGCCTATCCAAATGGTGGGATTCGCAGTTCCCATGCAAGGAGCCATTCCTACCCATTCCCACAAACAATTACAGCAAGACATTAGAGTTGGTCAATGCTAGAGATTGTTACTGCGTTCCTAGTGAGTGGTTGCGTTCTTTTTACAGATTTAGCAACAGAACGGGAACGTCATTTGACAACGGTAAAGCGCGCGGAAAGGACTAAACTCGACTTCCGGTGCCCAATTTGCCGCTTTGCCATTGGTCAGGCCAGTTGTTTGATTTGCGCGCGCAGTCGTCAACTGTTGCTAAATCAGCCTCTACATTTGTTCCACAAGACGGAGTCAAATTAGTGGGATGTTGTAAGACGGGTCCAAAGGTTCTTTAGCGAAGACTGGCAAGTCAGTTAGTCTATCCATTTGCAGATTCAAGGCAAATGAGAAAGAGAACATTCCACTCAGTTATTTCAAAACCCTGAGTATTGACTTGATCTGGTTGGAAATAGAACCGGACCAGTCACTCCGAAATCCTAGTGTTCTTCAGCCTCATCTGAGAAGACTAAAAAGCCTATCAGTCTGTCCATTGGCAGATGTCAGATCAAACGAAAGGGGAAACATAAGTACTACTCAGTTATTTCAAGACCCTGAGTACTGACTTGTTCCGGTCAAAAATCGAATGGGTCCCTTCGTTCCAAAATCTGTTATGTAGCTAACAATACAGCTCACCAGTCCGGCGGCAGATTTCTTCCTCGGCCACTAGTTGATTTGCCCAGGAAAAAATAAATTAAAAAAATGGTCTAAAAGAAAAGAGAAAAATCCTTACCTCATCGGTACGCGACGGGTTCATATACACTGATTCTCGAGTGCCTCTTTCAGTTGTTAAGCTTTCATAAAAAGATCGACTCTTTTCTTCCCGCTCCTGGTTTCCTTCATGTGGACAATGTCCTGGTCTGCTGAGTCTCTGGTAATCTGAGTTCGCGTTACAGCTCGGACATATAAACATACTCTGCGCTCTTTTTCCTTTTTCCAATCCCTGATATAAATCAGGGGTTTCCTCTTCAGTGCCTGGCAACGAAAATAATAAAAGAAGTGTCTTGTTTTTAAATCGTGATGGAGCAACTAAACTAGTAATTGAGAAAGTCAGGGGCTTGATACCCGCTGGGGACGCGAGATTTTACAATTACCCTTTTCGTATACCTTCTATTGCCTAATGGTGCCCTTTTCACATCAGGGGCACCAAACGAGAATATAGTTCAAAACCACTCAAACATAGCATTATTAAACGTATTTTAGTATTTAAACGGTAGATATAGGCATATTTTTATCCCCTAAAAACTTTTCATCTGTTCGGATTTCCTAGCTGAAAGTCTAGTGATCCGAANGTTGTTAAGCTTTCATAAAAAGATCGACTCTTTTCTTCCCGCTCCTGGTTTCCTTCATGTGGACAATGTCCTGGTCTGCTGAGTCTCTGGTAATCTGAGTTCGCGTTACAGCTCGGACATATAAACATACTCTGCGCTCTTTTTCCTTTTTCCAATCCCTGATATAAATCAGGGGTTTCCTCTTCAGTGCCTGGCAACGAAAATAATAAAAGAAGTGTCTTGTTTTTAAATCGTGATGGAGCAACTAAACTAGTAATTGAGAAAGTCAGGGGCTTGATACCCGCTGGGGACGCGAGATTTTACAATTACCCTTTTCGTATACCTTCTATTGCCTAATGGTGCCCTTTTCACATCAGGGGCACCAAACGAGAATATAGTTCAAAACCACTCAAACATAGCATTATTAAACGTATTTTAGTATTTAAACGGTAGATATAGGCATATTTTTATCCCCTAAAAACTTTTCATCTGTTCGGATTTCCTAGCTGAAAGTCTAGTGATCCGAAAATTATAGCGATCAAAACTTACCCTTTCGAAAATTTCAGCCAGAAAAAGGGCTCCCGAAAATTCTAGGTGACCTTTTCAGGGTAAAAATCCGTTAAAAACGGGTAATTATACCATTTTTTAGAAGTTCGAAAATCCTAGGAGAGGCAAGCAAGCAAGAAATTTTACAACGAATGTTCCGAAAATTCTAGATCTCAAATCGTCTTCCGAACAGATATTTTCCGAAAATTGACGTTGGGTGCCCCTGTCACATCCCTTTTTTAAACTCCTGTAAATTCAACGTCTTTTTAATATGAGTAAATCACTAAAACAGGACGTTTTGTTGTCGTCCCAGCAATAACATCTACTAGCCCCTCTAGGTCCGTTTGCAGAGCGAAATGACAGATATGCCTACTCTTTCATATACTACAACAATATGGTGAAATCCCTACCCTTTCATATATCTGACGCGTGAAAAAGGTACCCTTTTGGGAAGAACCTTCCCTGTATAGGACATTATAGGAAAAACCCTCCTCCCCTCGGGAAATCAATAACGAAACACTCACCATCAACTGCATCCCCGTGACGATGCTGGTGCTGATGATGGTCCGATTCCACTTCTGTTTCTTCACTCGATTCTTGCTGATGAACAAAGTCATCCTTCACTCTTGGCAATGATTCAGATTGACTCTCTTGACCACCTGGGTTCTCCAAGACCATCGAAACATCACATTGACCATCAACGTTATGACCATTGTTTTGGTCGGGCCGGAATGGTAGGGGCCTTGAACTTGATACCGATGAATCCGTTACATATGGATTTGAAACAAGTAGTATGGGTTTCTCTTCTGACTGTTTCAGCTCCTTCATTTCAACTGAATTACCTGCCAAAAGCCGTCAGCAATAGTTTGAGAACTGGAAGACGGTCCAAGATCTCCATTTCGAGTGGAGATCGAAGCGAGTGACGAGATAATTAGCGAGTGAGCGGTGAAACCGCGAGGGACAGATGAAAAGGAATTTCTCACGATATACTGCAAGAGGGCTTGCTCGCAGACTATCATGCATCCAACTTGAACCCAGTGTATAGCACGTCATATGTATCCTACATCCTTTATCGCCCCTCTCTCCCCCCCCCCCCCCCCCCCCCCCCCCCCACCCCCCCCCCCCCCCCCCCAACCCACCCCAACCTCCCCCCCCCCCCCACCCCGCACCACGGGCGCGGAACAACACCAAACCGGCGGCCACCCTAAAACTCAGGGCAACCAAAACGAAAAAAAAAAAACTAAAAAATACAAACACGAGAAGATGGCGAGTGCTGAAATGTCATTTCGGTGTTAGTAAACCACCAGGCAGAAC